CAGATACGTGTGCAGTAGTGGTAGCATGCAAAATGACAGTTACACATGCCATATAAAGAGCCATAAACTTCTGTTTCTTACTCAGAAAAAGAAAAGAAGATAGCATATATAAACACTTGATGTATCACATGAATCAAGAATGACTATGTCTCTTCCCATCTTTAGAATGAGATACAAATTGACACAAACACTTCAAAGAATTCTTTTATTAGAGTAACCAACAAAAATTTTCACCACACTTTCACCATTTTCAAACTGACAATTAAAAGACTTTAATATCAAATGGAAAACTTTTGAACCCGTTGTGAATTCCACAGAGTAGGCCAAACATCAGAAGTGAAGCCATCAGATTCAGTTCAATCCCACATATGGATCTGCTTTGATAACACGGTTCCAAATCTAAAATCTTCCAAGTTCTTAACAAATATTAAAAAACCTAGAGGAAAACAAAGTCCAAATGCGATATGAAGCAATCATGCTGGAAAAAATCAATCAAACCTTGGACTTCCAACACCTAATATCAGCAATTCTCTGATATCAAAACGAACATAATGCCATTGAACCACCAAGTCAACTAAATTTTCTTCTGAACTGAAGTCCAAAATTCCTCCAAAATAAGGTTATCAAAGCAGAAGATACAAAAGTAGATGAAACTTGTCCACTCATCCCCTCACCAATCTCCAATCCTCAGACTATAACCAACAACATTCCCCAAAGCAAAAAACACTAATAGAAATAAACTTACTTCCAGTTTTTTAGCAACAAATTCAACATGTAAATTCTAACGCAAAAGGGCCACAATAAACCCTTTCAACCATTAAGCATATGATCATTTAACATCCGGAGCCAACTGTGAGAGAGCTTTATATACGTGGTAAATTGGGGAAAACTAAATCCAATGTAAATTCACACGTTGATCCAACCTGATTGGATTAAATTCCAGGCCGCCCACAATAATATTTAGACTCAAACATGACCAAATGCTAAGCGTCTGTGTCTGTGCATGAACTAAAGTTAAAGAAAAGATAAAAGGAAATCAACTGATTTTGATATAAAATGCCAATGATTGTACAAATTTACTGGAATACTAATTTCTACAAGCTAGAGGAGGAATTAAAATTCAGAAAATTCTAAACCATAAAGTACACCGGCATACTTCTCAAGCATCCCATCTCTGGAGCAGAAGTAAACCTCCCTAATCTTCTGAAACGCCTGCCAAGTGAGCAAGCTATCAGAGCCGGCCTGGTGGCACTTCCCGACCGCCCGGTCCACATTAAGCATCCTCGCCACCCGGTCCAACCCACCGTACAAACTGTTACAGAACTTCATCAGGTACTTCACATCATAAACCCTATCACCGAAAAAAGCCCTCAATAAATCCAAGAACGCCAGCAAGTCCGCTGGCAAGGGCTTTCCAGTCAAGATTTTGATCAAGTACCCGAAATCGTAAGCGCTGTGGAACGTGACCCAACTCACTGAGTCATTGCACACGAGTCCCGATGACATCATCAACTTGGCGAAGTTGGATGAACTTATGCCGAATTCCTTGTTCTTCTCGAAATCTATGCCTTGCTGGCGCAATAATTGGATGGAATCGGAGGCGTGAAAGTCAAGTGACAAGTCGAAGTCGGAGAAGTTGAATTCCCAGACGAACCGGTGGCTTGTGCCGAGATCGGGTAGATTGCCGGCGGAGTCAGAGAGAGTGAGGCCAACTTGTATGAGATTTAGCAAGTCGACGTTGGCTTTGAGCATCAAGTAGTTGGCCAAAGAACTGCCATCGCGGACTGTGGAGGAGGAGGCGGTCCGGATGACAATCCCCGGGAACTCTGTGTCCATGGATGCGTAAGGGTACTGGTCGATGATCTGTCGGATTAAAAAGAATTCGGACTCAAGATTGTCGGACCAGACTGAACGGACTATGATCGTCGGTAAATTCTTCTCCACCGTAGACGGTGGTGGTGCTGATAGTTTACTGGTGGCTGACATGGGAACCCGATCTTGACTGTAGAGACGACCACGACTACGACGGCGACTGTGATAGGATATAGGGTTTCAGTTTTTGAATCGAAGTTTGTATTTATACATCTGAGAGAGAGAGAGCGACGTGAGACGTAGTAGGGACGCTGGGTTGGAGTTGGGGTTGTGTGAGAGTAGGGCCCATTGATTCTTGAATTGTAATGACGGAGTTGTCCATATTTCTTTTAGTTAATGACAGCAATGCCGTGGGTTAATTGGCCTGCCTTGTCGGTTTAGAGGGTCTAATTAATATGCGCTACCGAAATAAACCCTGTGCACAACCATGCCTTCTTACAGTTTTTTGGGTCAATAATCAAAATGTCCGAGTCAGTTATCTCTCGTCACGGTTCAAAACAGAAACCTGCGAATGCAAAGTATAATGGTTATCTAATCAAATTTGAAAATCCTGATTTGGGTCCAGTTACAGGTTCGATCATGCAATGCAATTCGAATTTGATAAAAATCCAAAATCTCGATTTAAATAACTAAAATAATAATTAAATTTAACAAATTCTATTTAAATTTAAGGGTTAATCTCATTTTACACCCCGAAAGATAGTGCGAATCTCAATCTGCACCCTCAAAGATAGACATTTGTATCAATGTGCACCCCCAAAGATCAAAAATCTCAATTTGCACCCTCAAAGATAGAAATTTGTATCAATGTGCACCCCCAAAGATAAAAAATCTCAATTTGCACCCTCAAAAATAGAAATTTATATCAATGTGCATCCCAAAGATAAAAAATCTCAATTTGTACTCTCAAATATAGAAATTTGTATCATTATGCACCTAAAACTAAATTGATAAATTATACCTAGATCCTCTCATGTTTGTTACTTAATCATTTGGACCTCTTTACATTTAGAACATTACTCCTACATCTCATGACATTTATGCACGTACAACATGTAACCCATTTTCATTGATATCTGTTAATATAACCATTAAAAAATATAATTTTATCATAATAAAAAATTATAATTTCATATTACCCTTATTTTATGGGTCCAATATACTCTAAAGTTCAAAATTAAGCTTACCATTTGAATGTCTAATAAAATGTAGATATTTATATAATGTTTTTCATATTTTCCTTTTTATAAATATCTACATTCTATTAGACATTCAAATGGTAAGCTTGATTTTGAATTTTAAAGTATATCGAATCCACAAAATAAAGGGTAATATGAAATTATAATTTTTTATTATGATAAAATCATATTTTTTAACGATTATATTAATAGATATCAACGAAAAGTGGTTATGTTTACACATGTACAAACGTCATGAGATGTAGGGGTAATATTCTAAATGTGAAGGGGTTCAAATGATTAAGTGACAAACATGAGGGGATCTAGGTATAATTTATCAATTTAGTTTTAGGTGCACATTAATACAGATTTCTATCTTTGAGGGTGCAAATTGAGATTTTTGATCTTTGGGGGTGTACATTGATACAAATTTTTATCTTTGAGGGTGCAAATTGAGATTTTTGATTTTTGAGGGTGTACATTGATACAATTTTCTATCTTTGAGGGTACAAATTGAGATTTTTAATCTTTGGGGGTGTAAATTGAGATTCAAACGATCTTTCGGGATATAAAATGAGATTAATCCTAAATTTAATTATATTTAAATATAAGTTATTATCTATTGGACTAATCGGTGGTGATTAAAGTCGTACAACTTAGTCAGAGTAGAGAAGAGAAGTGGTCATCGGTCAGCGCACTGGGTGGAATGCAGGCACCAAACGTGAAAACTGTGCTAATTGACATCTTCTGTCGCATTCGCATTATTAAAAACGGTGATCATTTTCATTTTGACCTTTCGGTTCGACGACTAGCGATAAACACGTGGGTCGGTGCGTGGTGGGGGTATCAACATCGTATCCCTGTGGGCGAGCGAATAACCTTTTTTTCCCTTTTCTTTTCTTTTTATTGTGGGCTGTTTCTGATTTCTTACGTTTGGAAGCAAACGAACCTATGCTCCAGACTTTGGTCTCCCACTTTAATTTTCTGTCCTATTTGTTTCGCTTCATTCTTCTTTGTTCAACACATATGATAAGTTCTCTCTCTTTGTGCCACTTGTAAGTTGTGTAATAACAAACAAACAACAAACATCACATAAATATCGCTCTTTCCGACAAGAATTCAGTATTAAATCTCCCGATTAATCCTTCCAAATATATACAATCCTTCCATTGCTCACATATACTTGACATTATCAACATAAATCATGGTTTTAAATTGAATCTCAAGCACCATTTGATTCATTACCATGTCAAATTTTGATAAAAATACGAAGAGGGTGTTTTAATTTGAGTATATAATATGAGTTGAACATGAACAATTGATTTTATTATATCAGTTTGTAACGGCTATAATAATCGGTATACCATTTTACAATCACATCTATACTGTGTTTCGTTTAAGGTTGAAATAAAACGTAATCCCAAGGAGTAGCCTAATGGACACAAGAGGCGGCGAGGGATTTATTCTAATCCGAGTTCAAAGCACTTTCCATCTACAACTTACTACAGAGCACAAATAACATCGATAAAAGAAACAAGTTCACTTGCATACGCTCTTTCATGGTTCTTTAGCCTTGTATTATTATTCTTTCCATGTCTTTTGCCTATCAAAAAGCAATAGGATACTGTAAGGCATATGATTCCCACCCAGCACAAGTAAAAGCAGCTACTTTCATGGCAGGCAGGTTCCTCTGCTTTTGCTATTCCATTTTCTTTGGTTTTTGGTGAATACAATGCCATATGTATTGCTCAAGATAACATTTGTATTGGTATCCACAGTCCATAACCAAGCAGATAATGCAACTGTTTTACTGTATAGGTCGCGGTCAGACACGAGAATTAACTATCCAAGCAATACAGGCGTTAAAACCTGTTTCTAGTTGCTTCGAACAGTAACACGCATGCAAAACTCCATAGTTATAGAAGAGCAATGTAGTAATGAAGCCCACGGCTACCTGATGGCACTGCAACACCTAAGGAAGGCAGCCAATGTACGGGTGTTCAACTGCCGAGCCAAACATGATACTATTTTGGCATACCCCACAACCAGGGGATGGCATGGTACACTAGAGACTAAACCTCTGTCCTCAGGCCATTTCACATCAGATATGACTGTTAATGGCTTTCAGAATGTTGAATCAAATCCAACCTAAGTTCAAATTATCCATAAGCAAGCTCCATCACCACAAATGCAAACAAAAAACTGGACAGCCTAGTATGTGCACCATGTCGAAATGGGGTGGGGGAAGACAACAAAAGCAGAGTTATAAGGACAAATGTCATCAGAATTATGAGATTTCTTTCACTAATCACAATTTGACTTGTCACACAGATGGTGATTAAAGGTGTTGTCAATCCAAAAATCAACAAAATCAATCACCAGTAGTCCAAATCCCAAGGTTTGCAAATCATACAGTCATTTGACGTCATTTGCTTTAATGCGGCTCCTATGCTACAAGATCACTTTCCAAGCCTTGAGAGAGTGTTTTAATAGACAAAACAAGTTCATCATGGTGCAATTTCTTTCCCATTTAACTTACCTAAAGAGAGGAACAAACCGACCAAAGAAGACGAGGAGTTCTGAACACAGTGAGAACTGAAATACTGGTTAAATATAATATTCAATACTTGACACAGAAGAATTCCCATTAAACAGCACACAGTACAGAGTTTCCGAGAAAAGACAGCAGATTAAAAGATCGAAAGCCATGACAAGCAATAGGAGAAGCTTTTTGAGGCATTCCCCCTGCACATTTTTAACTTTGACGGAATTGACACACATTACAAACTGTAAATTTGCATATGGTCCTTGAAATCTAATAGTCCTTGCACTAGAAATAGGTACCTTCAGGAGGCTGGACCAACTTACGGTTTTGTGGGGCTGCCATTTCTTTTTTCAGCTGTGTCAGTATGTCTTCCATGGTGTATTCTCGCTGCCAATTTGACAGAAGTCCAAACTTTTTTGGTTCCACCTATACAAAAATGGTTGACATAATATCTCATCAATCATCCACGTAAAAACATGTAATGGCACAAAGGACTAAACTTCCCATCATCACAAAGAATAAAAAAGATAACATTAATAAAACCTTCCAGAACTGTTTTAGCCACTGATCCAATCACTTCTACAACATTCTTAAATTATATATTCCCTCATTTTTATCCCATCAGCAGAAAAGATAAGTCCATCCTAACAAACATTCTTTACTTTCCAAATTACTAAAGCCAAAACTTTAACATTGTCTTGAATTCTATTAAGCAAACAACCATGGACCAGCTCCAGCCTTTTGAACTACTAAATAACCATAGTCTATAAACAAGGTTATGCATGAACAAGATATATAGGACCCCTGCACTGATTGATGGACGCAGACAAAATAACAAGAAAAACATAGGTAAATTATTAGCCACAATACACATTGTCAATACGTATGCCTTATTAACTGCATCATATAGGATACAATGATATTTACACAAGATACTAGTCCGGTTGGATTTCCAAGAAAAATCTAATGTAATATTTCTATTAAAGTTTACTCTAATTTTCTAGCTCAGGTGTATTAAGATAAATTTACTTTGCTTTCCTATTCCTTCACCACAAATCCTATACTACAACTGTTTCTAAAAACAAAGACTTTTCAGGCCCACTACAGGAGAAGAATACTTCTTTTTTCATATTTCGAAGCTCATGAAATTCACTAGTATAGGCATAGTGTTGCACACTAACATGTAGCCACATTAAGTTTTACACTTGAGTTGCACCCCTGGATACTTCAATGAAAAATTACCCACAACAAAAAAAAAAAAAAAACACGCAAATATCGTACACAAATTGAAAACAGTACATTGCAGAACAATGTCCTAGAAACCTTGTTAGCATGCATTAAGCATACCAGTGCAGTTAGATTGAATGGCATTTCCTATCATCCCCAATTGGAACGTGCAGTGTTCGGTCCACAGTAGGACACCAACAAGTGTGCATTAATTTTTTTTTTTTTTTTGGGAGGGGGGGGCGTGGGAGGGGGAGGGGGGACTTGAACCCTTAAGTGTGCATTAATTAACTAATCGTGGAATCAGCAAAAATTTATTGGATCACAATCTTTCCAATTTTTTAGAATTTCATTGTTGTCCACAGCATTACTGATCAATAAAAGAGTTGTTCTTTGATAAGTGCAAATGGAGAATCATATTTTAATCTATGATATCAAGCTATGAATATTTGATACTTGATCTATCGTTTAATTTCTACTTTGTATTTTGCTCAATATCATTTAATTTCTACTTTGTATTTAGCTCAGTATTAAACTCATATTTCTATTTTGCTCAATATTTTCCATTTGTTCAGTCATAATGTGAATTCAAAGAATATTATGGCATACAATCAGACAGTACACAATACAGAAGATATAGAGTTTAATACTCATTGTGGCACACAATCAATTATTAATACTATTTATTTATCATAATCATCAGCATCAAATATTCTAAAAGTAAAACATTACAGCACTGTGAGAATCATGTCAAAATGGTCCTAAGATCACGGCTAAAGCTAATCTCAAAAGAAGTCAGTAATAAAAGAAACTTTGGACTCACAATTTCCACCAATTGAAAGTGTGGAAACACAGAGAACCACCTAATTGATAACAGTGCCAAAACATCAATTCAAATGTAAAATAGATATTCATGTACCACTCCAGTTTCATGGTTGACGCAAGTCATGTTGATCCGTGAATGGAAACGAACACTTGGTGGCTTCTCTGGGTAATCTTTGTCACAGAATAGCTTCAACTGATAAATGCGACCTTCATGCACGGACTGAAGAAACAAGAAAAGTTACTGTAGTCTGAGCAATTTATCAGCAAGGAATTACAATCAAAATTCCCTAAAAAAAAATGAACAAATAAGTAAGCACATAAACGGCACTTTTCAGTTCTGCCAACAAGAATGAATGCACACAATGTCTCTTCCAAAATTATCAAATATTGGACAGAATTACATTTAATACTTTTGTGATTTTGATTGTAGCACAACACTCGTTCCTCCATATCATGCCATTTCATATAAACCAGAGTAGGGCTGTAATCTGAAACTCTGTTAAATAGTGTTAGATTTGCAACCCACAAAAGAGCTACTTTACATATTTGGGGAACCAAGACACTACTACACATTTCCTTAGACTAAGATAACTCAGTTCTTGCCATACGTCATTTATCCAGCAAGTATAACAACCACCAAAAATATGTTTCCAGAAAGTCAAAAAGCAACCATGTCAAACACACACACACACACAAATAGGAAAAGAAACGTAAACCCTTCCCTGTAACAAGTTGAGTCAGGCACAATGTGATTGACTCCTAACAAGCTTTTGTGGTAGAGTTATAAGCCTTGAAATAAATTGGATGCACCACAAAAGTGGGTTGCTGAAAAAATCAAACTACACAAAACCCAGTTCAATTCTTGGTGACAACCTTGATTTTTGTTTCAGCAATTCTTTCTGACAACACTTGGTACAATGTGCCCTACTCTCTTCCCACCGGAACATTACTGCATAGCATGGAAGGAAGCAGAGAGAGAGTATCTTTATGATGACAGCTTATATAGCAATGAATTTCTTCCACATTTTGCTTCTCGCATGGCTCACCCCATGAGTGGTGAGGCTGAGCAAGACCTTTTTGAATTACAACTCACAAGACTGAAAATTAAGACCTAAACATCAATAGATCGAATCAAATAAACTAGGAACCCAGGTTACATGAAATGTTGATCCTAAAAATAACAAACAGATAAACACACACCAAAGTAGCCTTCATGCTTCATATAATCAGACAGTTAGATGTCAAAAACTAAAAACCATTACACAGAGACATATACAGGCTTACATTATGCGGACCAATAATGGTTCCAGTCCAAGAACGCATGTAAATGTCATCTCCATCATCCATTCCATAGCTCACAGTGCCATCTCCAATACCCTTTTCTCCACGTTCAAGTTCCTCCAGCAACCTGAAATTTCGAGGGACTGCATGGAAAATCAAGGACTTGAGAAGCCAATTTTAAAACACCAACTTCCAAGCTAATCATTTTGGTGAAAGAATACTCAACTCAACAAAGCCTTGTCCCAACATTTTTGGGGTCAGCTACACAAATATGTTTCGCCACTGAGCTCTATTAAAGGTCATGTTTTCTATTAAGCCATAAGTTATCATATATTTTTTTACTATTCCATGTAAATTTAATTCTTCCTCTACCCCTATATTTACTGATAATAACTATCATAGGACTCTTTCTCATTGATGCTATAATAGGTTGTCTATAAATATATCCAAATTACCTAAGTCGATTCTCCCTTAACTTACCTCCTATATGTGCTACCTCTACTTTTTCACAAATATATTTGTTCCTAATTTTATATTTCCTAGTTTTACCACACATTCATCCGAACATTCTCATTTCTGCCATGCTCAATTTTTGAGCTTGTTATTTCTTAGTTGTCCAACACTTAATACCATAAAGCATATTAGATCTTATGGTCGTTTTATAAAACTTTGTTTTTAGTTTAAAGGGTATGTATTTATTACACACTACACCGGATGCATTCCTCCATTTAATTCATCCTGCATTAATTCTATGATTGACATCATCGTTAATCTCACATTATCTATGAATGATAGACCGTAAAAATTTAAAATGTTCACTCTTCAATATCTCTCTTGATCTTAATTTTTACAACTTCCTAGTTTCAATTTCTTCTCTTACTGAAGTTGCATTCCATAAATTCAGTTTTAGACTTACTTATCTCTTGATTTTTTGATTATAGAGTTTCTTGTCATATTTCTAGTTTATTATTAACTCCTTCTTTACTATCATCAACTAATACAATATCGTTCGCAAAATATCATACACTATGGGAGCTCATACTGAATGTGCCAATAGTTAATTCATTCATAATTAACGCAAAACGGCATGGACTTAAGGCAAAGCCAAAATATAAGTTATAGTAATTAGGAATTCATTATTCTCTCCTACTGTTGTTCTCACTAAAACCACGACATCTTCATACATATCCTTAATCACATTAATATACCTATCAGTAACATTTTTCTTCTCTAACGCCCGCCATAATATATCTATATCATATGTCTTTTCTAAGTCTACAAAAACCATACGAAAGTCTTTATTTTTCTCCCTATACCTCTACATTAGTCTCCGAAGTAAATATATAATTTTCATTGTCGTTCAACCATGCATAAATTCAAATTGATTCTTAAAACCATTGTTGCAAGTCTTAATCTTTGCTCGATCACCCTCCACCAAAATTTCATTGTATGACTCATTAGTTTAATATCTCAATAGTTTTTGCAACTTGGTATCTCTCCTTTATTATTATGTATAAATATAAATACTAGAATACTCCTTCACTCCTCAGGCATTTCCTTGGTTATTATAATATTATTAAATAATTTAGTTAACCATGATACCCCAACATCCCATAGAGGCTTTCAAACCTCAACAGGTATACCATTAGATCCTAAAATTTTTCTTGTCTTCATTTTCTTTAATGTATCATTTATCTCCGACATCATAATCTTACGAAAAAATGTATTTTATCTAATCTCCCTATGATTTCTATTGTTCTCAATGTCTAAGCTCCCTAGATGATTTTCATTTAGTAACGTTTCGAAGTAAATCTTCCACATTTCTTTAATTTTCTGGTTTTGTACCAAAACCCTAGTAATCTTCACTCTTAGTACATTTAATATGAACATCTCTATTCCTTTGTGTCTAATTTAGAGTAAAAATCATCATATGCTTCATATTTAGAATCTTACCCTCTTTTTTACTTCATATTTAGTTTTTTTCCATGTTTTATAACACTTCCTTTTTACTTTCACTGCAATTAAGACCTCATCATTCCACCACCAAGTTTTCCTTGCTAATGGTCTATTACCTCTTGATTCTCCAAGAACCTCAAGAGTCACTTTCCAAATATACTCAACCATTGTATTCCACATTATATTCATTTCAACTTCTAAAGTCCAGACTACTTTTAGTATTTTAATGCCAAGACATACAAAAGCAAACATTATTCCTCACTTTTGTTAGCAAAAGAACCACTAAAAATGAGGTGAAAATCAAAATCTCATGATTCCTTTTTTCTAGAAAGAAAAAAAACATAAAGATCCCATGGATTAAGATAGCCCAACAAAAAGGAAAGAATGCAATGGAGTTGCAATTCATCTATGGTGGTGGAAAATTAATAATTATAACATTCCAATGGGGTCAATGAGGATATATAACAAAGCTAGCCCCTCATCATTGCAGTTTGCTTGCAGGCTGCAGCTATAAACTCCAAAGCTCCAAAACATCATATGCAACCACATGCGTTCCAACTTCCAATCATAGCCATATAAACTCGGATTTGAAAACACAGAAGATAAAATGATATGATGGAAATTCTCAGAACGAGCATCCCTTCATGTAACGGTACAAACCTAATAGAAAAATGTGAATATTAAGGAACAACTACAAAGTTCTATCCAGGAACGTCCAAGTCATTATCTGGCAGCTTCTCCCTACCAATTATGAAGCAAATGGTTTGTAAGCAGAAAAGATATTCCGACTTCATAAGAAATTCTCAAGCACAACTCAACCTTTCATAACAAGATAGTCATTTGATTGAGGATATCATGACAGCCTTTCATCAATCCAGCATACAGCAGAAAACACGTTAGCTGAAACAGAAAAAGTAACTACATTGACCTTTAAAATTCTACCACAATAAATGTAAAACCAAATTTCTAAACAATTTCCCCGATTGTCAATGGGCGATTAGTAGAGCAAAATCCATACTCTGCACACAAAATCAACTCTCATGACCACTATGTAAGCCCGCAAATCAGTATTAAGTAGCTTAATTTAACCATTCGATAAAACTGAAGTATAGTATTCACTAAAAAAAAATGACCCGGCATAAATACAACAGAAGATAAGAATCACATAATTTGCAAAATAAATAAACACATACATATGAAAATAGATAATACATCAAACAGCAGCAACAATCAACATAGAGCAGCTATCGACACAGAAGCAGATTCACCTCAATTCCAGAATTGCCCAAGAAATCCCAAAAAAGCAACATACCCATTCTCAACCAAAACCCAATAAAAGATCATCAAACAAAGAAATTACAAGAACACTCATAATCCAACACATCTCTGACCCATCACTCATTCACCCATACTCACATCCAGAACATCTAAAAAAAAAGATGAAATCAGACAAAAACATGTGGAGATACTGCACAAGTATGATAACAATCACGAGAACAAAAGACCAAGATTGAAGAGATTAATCAAGGGTTCGGAGACTCACCCACAACACTTGATCCTCCTGAGCCAAGCGTCATGCCTGATCTTAAGTTTTGGTTCGGGGTTACGTAAAGATCGATTTTTGATCGAGAAAAGAAATTTTTTTTTGTAGAGATAGAAGGGAACAAGCAGAAGCTAAAGTGAGGCGAGTATAAAAGGCAGAGGTATAAAGAGGAAAAAATAACGCAACGATCCAAGGAGAGAGAGTGAAAGAGGGGTTAAAAAAGAGGGTGACGTAGGAATAAAGTGGACTTCCTCCCCCACCCACTAAACATTTTTCCAGTTTTTCCTTTTTTTTAGGGAGGTTGTAATTTTGAAATTGCAAAACACAACCTCTATTATTAAAAATTAACAAAAAATGAGCTGGATCCTTACATTTTGCGTTCAAAAGCTTAAGATATATTTAAATATTTTTTTAAAGTACAAATATAATTGTGTCAAAAAAGAAAAAGCATGTGTTCAATAATTATTTGACAAAATCAATCTATATATTTTGGTACATAAGAATTATACTTATTTACATGCACACGTAGACTAATGTTCCGTTTAGTAAGAAAGATCGAAAATAGAAGGGATACAAAATAAGAGGAATATATTTTCTATCATCTAAGGAAAGAAAATAAGAATGATACATTTTTCTTCCTTTCTATTTAATAAGTTTGATGGAAAAAAAAATATAATTTATTTTTTTGCGTTTGGTAAGAAGAAAAAATTATTATTTTTTTATTTTTAAATTTTATTTTTAAAATTCTTTTAAAAAATATAAATATATATTTCAAATGATATATAGTCAAATAAGATACATTTTCAATATAAATAATTAACATTTCGGTCACTTTTCTTCCAATTTTAGAATGATTGATTTTGGTGAGTTGAAAAAAAAAACTCATCCATCCACTTTTTCATCCCTCCTATTTTTCTTCTTTACCAAGTATAATGTTTTATCTATTTCTCTAATTTTTTTTCTTGTATCTTTTTATTATACCAAACGGAGCATAAAACTATTCAAGGAAAAAAGTTTAAGGAATTAGTCATGGCCTAATGGACCAATTACCACATATTTGGACCTAAAAAGCACATGTTTGTACATCATCCACTCCCTTTCCATGTCTAAACTGTTAAAAAAAATGAATAATCCTATTTATACTTAAAATTTTGATCTAATTTGCTGACATAATGATGCGGTTATCAGTAGAATCATTGGATCAGCATCAAATTTCAATGTTTGATGGAGTCTACAGTCAATTCAAAGATCATAATAACTTAGGTCAATAAATTGAATATCAATAGCATTGTTCAAAAAAAAAATAGTGAGAAACTTTGCTATCAGTTCTTAAGAATTTAAAGGAGCAATAATTAGGTAATAAACTTGTCACCAAGAATTTAATAACTCACTATTCAGAGACACCAAATGCAAAAGACAACATAGGGGCCCAGTCTAATGATGTTTAAGGTTTGAAATCACATTTGAAAGAGATTTTTAATGAGCCACTGTCATGATTAAAAATCTCACCTTCCAATATGAATTTCAGTAGCAGGTACACAATCATCCAATGATGTTAAATTTTTCTTTAATTAACATCTAGGAAAAATAAATCCGGACTCTCTCAAATTTATCATTAAATCACTTAGATTCCTTAACATTTAAAATATTACATACAAATCTCTAAACTTTATATATATATGTAACACATAAATCCTTTTTGTTAATGTCCGGTAGTACATCCGTTAGTAAATTATATGCAGATCCCTGAAATTTAAAGCGTATAATACTTAGATTTCTAAAGTTTAAAATATTATATTTGAACAAAAATATTCCAATTAAAGATAAAATATTAAATATTTTATATTTTATAATTAAAATTAATGTTCTATTATATCATTTATTGAAATAAAATCAAAAATAAAAATTCAATCATAATTAATACTGTTGATGCCAAATTTTGGATGACCTCCAGTTTGTTGAATTTTGATTGCCTAAAAAACTGAAATAAAACTCAAACAAAATCCTAATTTTTTGAAGGAAAAAAAGTAATTAGTATAAATATATCAAAAACTCAATTCAATACTCATTTTTCATATAATTATATTATCTATTGTAATAAACTTAAAAAACCAAACAAGGGTCAAACTTGGTTGTTTAATAAAAAACCAAACAAGTGTCAAACTCAAACCAAATATCTTCTATCGTTAATTGAGATAATTTGGTTGTTTAATAAATTTCATTAGTTTTGTAACTTATAAGGTGTTTATGTCTAATATTTTAAACTTGAGAGGTCTAAATGTTATACACATACAAATTTCAAGAAATTTGGATATAATTTACTAATAAATATATTAACGAACATTGACAACAAGAGTCCAACTGTTGTGCACGTATAAATCTCAAGAGGTCTATGTGTAATATTTAAAATGTCAAAGGTATAAGTAATTAAGTGGCAAATTTCAAAAATTCTGGTGTAATTTTCCCTAACATTCTAATATGTTCGTACACAGAGAAAATATTCAATGCAACGGTGATATCATGTCAACAATTGACGTGGTATCACCAACTAATAATAAAATACCAAATGGATAAGGTGAACCTCGCTCGGATTGTTATTAGCTTACACAGAGGAATAATGGGTAGTTATTTACCTATATGGAAGGTTGTTAATAATTTTGTGGTGTCCATTTACTTATTTGTTTTGATATTATTAATTGATGGTATCATGCCAACATTGTGACTTATTATCATTGTTGTATTAAATATTTTTTCCGGTACAATAGACAATACTATTTAATTTTTTTATGTATCAAGTGAAAGCAATAATTAATTTCAAGAATAAAATAACAATATACTATGCTTACCACCTTAGCTTTTAAAGCACATTACTACAATTTTACAACATTTATTTAAGATATACTAGTAGTCTCACACACAATTACCCGTATATTCAATTTTAAAATGAAATCAGAAGTGACCGATAGATATAAGAGATAAATTATGATAGAACTCTTTAAAGTATTGGATTGGATCAAGATAATTGGACCCACCTTTGACCGGATTACTCTTAGATTTCATTGGATCGGTTTGGATACTAAATCCAAACCAGTCCAATCTTGTGGGTGATTGCCAAACACACCCCTTGGGATTATGACTTGTTTTTGGTGCCAAATCATATTCAAACCAATCAATTGTAATGTTTGCTGAAATGTGTACATATTTGTTTATTGGTTTTAACTTGTGGGTGCTTAAATCGGTGGTGGGTTGTATTGTCAATTGCTTACTTTTTGTGTAATTGCTTTGTTTGTTCCTTTAACAAACCAACTATAAAAGCTGTGATAAATAATTATGTGGATTAAAAATGCATGAGTTTTTTTTTTTTTTTTGAGGGGGCAAATTTAAAAATACATTAAAACATATATAGAAATTTGCTTACAAAAAAATAAAAAAAATGAGTAGGGGAAGTTGCCCCATAATGCATTGAGCGGCTCTGCCGCCCTAACTTTTAAATTCAGGGCTCCTTTGGAAATATTTATAATTTTGATTTTTAAAAAAAATAAAAAAAAATCAATTTTAGATTTTCGTTAGTAAAAAATGAAAACAGAAAACGTGTTTGGTTGCTTTTATAATTGTAAAAAAATCTGACAACAAAAACAAAAAACTCGTTTGAATATAACACTTGAATTTTTTTTTTTTTTGACTAGCTTGTGTACATTAACATAATTCCATGCTACCTTAATGGCTGTTGTTCATGAAATTATGTGTGCTGGTTGCAAACAGCAAACTGTGAGACTTGTGCCTTTTTTCTCATTTCTTGGTAACATTTGACCAATACATTACACATAGAAAGACATTGCTTGCTAAAAACTCCATTATCACAGCAATTTCTTAAAAAAGATAACTGAACAAGGAGATTTAAAAGACAAAATCAATGATCAACGCTTAATTAAGCCACAATTTATTACAATACAAAATATATCCTCAATGTCTGAAACTTAACAAAAGCTAATTTAAAGGAAAACTATAACAATATTGCTCTTCAGAATTCTGCTCCTGTTGTTCTACATAACTGTGTGCAGATAGTGATTAAGTCTTGACTTCACCCCAATGGTACTCAATAAAGATCTCGGATGATAATCAAATGGATGAGAGCCACATAACAGTACAAGAAATTTGTCTCAGAAAACCGGGGGGACTAAAGGGTAAGATCTTTAGGGTCCTTGATTAACTGAGCTAGAGATTGCAAGAATGAAGCTAGATTGAACCGTATATGACACGATGATCTGCCGTAACATTTGCCTGTAATTATTGCTTCGTCAAAATTCAGTACTCAACAAGAAGTTACTCGCACGGTCTAATGAAAAAATCAAGACATCAAATACTAATAGTGGAAATAAACAAGAGATTAACCTGCATCTGACTTCTCATGCCAATCCGACCGTCCTATGTAGCAACTACGGAGGGCTGAGATGCTCCAACAGCCATGATTGCACCCTGTAAAAAAATAATTCCCATACATCCGTTACATTTGCTCAATTTGGTCAAATGACAGGTAATCTACTAGAGAGGATGAATTTAAATTTAATTGCAAAAACTTACAGTTCCTGGCGGTAAAATGGCATCAAAGCGATCCACACCAAACATTCCAAGATTTGAAAGGGTAAAGGTGCCTGGCATACAAAAAGCCAGCCATAATAAGCAAATGTTTAATCTGGTCGTATGCTAACTGTTGTAATAAACATGAATGGGTTACAATTGACTAGAAGGAATCCCACACCACATCAGCTCACATGAAAGATCAAATAATCGCCTTTTAACTGTCATATAGTTTTGACAATTCTTGTTCTTGATTTTCATTTGGGTTTTGCATTGAATCCCATATTTTTGTGTAAATTTCGACTTTTTTGTTCTTGATTTTGATCCACAAAGTCGAAGACAAAAAAAATCAACAATACAGCACAAAAGAAAAAAAAAATACCTCGATGGAGAACCCTTCACTGTCGAAGACGAAGGCTAGAACAACTTCGCCGTCGAAAGTTCAAGTTAATCCAG